AACAGAAAAAATCCAAAGTTATTTCAATTGTAAAAGATGTTACTATACACGGGGAAGATCTGTGGTAAAGGATAAGTTGATTTCTTTTTCAGATTTGCCTACAAAATATCTGATACTATGCTTCCCATTATACTCTATGGGCATTCCATTTGGCATTCTCTTCCCCTGTCAAAGTCTATGGGCATTCCATTCTGTCATTCCTTTTAGTAGGCCCCATCATGTTATTCACATATATATGAAGGACAGAACAGAAATGGAGTGAGCTTTTCAGGGAGATATACAAATTGTATATCTCCTTTATATTTCTCCTTTTTTATTTTCTCACCTGCCTCAGTCCTCGCCTCGTGCCAGTCTTTCTCTTTCCGGATGAGGCACCAGTCCTGAGTGAGGCACCCGTGCGCACAGCCTCACATCCTCCAGTGAAGCCCGTGCCGTGTGACATGTCACGCTATGCGGGCGGGGGCCAGGGGAGGAGCTAACTTTAGGATGCGATCGTGCAGATTGCATAGGACAATGCGTTATGGCATTGCCGTATGTGGCCGCTGCCATAACGTATTATTCTATGCAATCCGATCGGCAATTTTCTGCGGGCAGCGGGCTCAAGGGGCAGATGCTCTGGGCCCCACAACCTTGATTGGGCCCGGGGCAAGTGCCCTTTTTGCCCTGCGTTAAAGACGGCCCTGGTTGCTTGTTTGTTCTGGGTAGATGACTGAGACAGAGTTTAGCGCTGACTGGCGGAACGGACGGGGAAGGGGGCGGGTACATTTGGCTTTGCCTCTAGATAGGCAGAGCCAGCTGTCAGTCACGCAGCTGGCCGGATCCCGGCACAATTGTCGGGATCCGCTTCAGCTGCGGCGTCTCAGTATACCGCGAGCAGCAGCTCGTGGTATACTGTGGCGTCTCAGCTCGTGGTATACTGAGCCTAGGGTGAGCCTAGGGTGACGGGAGGACGCTAGTTTGTGTCCTCCCGTTAACCTAAGGAGAACTATGGGGAAAAGCCTCAACCCCATAGTTCTCCTTTAAATTAGACACAGCCAGGCCAAAACATATTCAGAAGGAGGCCAGCAATGACATATCCCTATTTTTTTTGGTGGTATTCTTCATGTATACATTTTGGTATTTCCTGTGTACAATTTATTTCAATTAGCCATACAATGACTAGTATTGATAGATCACCATCTAGTGTCCAGTAATCCATTACTTGCTCCTTAAATACATTCTAATGGCTTATTGATTTAAGCTTAATGTGACTAATAATCCCTAGAATTAGTACTATCTTGTACACTACTGATGAATGAATAATTAAATATTCACTTCACAACAGCCCACTGATCTGCTGGTGGGCTTTTATCTACTAAGTAGGATGACCCCTGAACACTAGTCTGCATGACTTTAGCATGTGGTGTGGATTTCAAAAGTGGTTCCCCAAAAATATGGCCCCTTCCAATATATGAAGCAAATGTACACTAGGCTCTTCTGCTAGCTTTTCCCTGCAAACCCAACAACCACATTAAAGGGAATATATAGTTAATCTGTAATAAAGTAAAAAACCTGTACAGGACCAGATTTCCATTATGGAAGCCCGTAGGCCTCTGCTGCCCATCCTGTGGCCTAAATGGCAACATGGAGCCCTTTGGTGTTTGTTGTGTGATTCTTGGACCCAGCAGTCAGTAGTGAGAATGGGAGCGTTGATTTTTTTAGGGGTAATAGCAATCATTTTATTTTTAGGTAGCTTTAGCAGCAACACATTTTGGCCAATAGTAGGTTAAAGCTGCACCTGTTCTCATTGGTTCAAAACTGTCCTGCTGTTGGCCAGTTTCTATTAAGCTCTCATTAAAAACTAAAGGACCACAGATGAAACAGCAGTGTAAAATTGGGCAACAGCAGGGCAGTTTAAATTAGGGATAGGAGATCTATGGTACATACCTGACGTTCATCTTTAGAAATAAGGAGAGCAGTGAATGCGAGTGATTTAAAGTTAAAATTGATTTAGGTGTACAATGTTCTTGAACTTAGCTCTTTTTCCTTTCAAATGATGCAGCGGCATGCTGCAAACAGAAGGCAGCCTATCAACATTAAATTTTTTAAAAAAAATCTCACAAAAGTAATGAAAACTCCAGAAAGCACCAACCTGGAAACAGAAACCTACTTTAAAAAAAACAAAAAACCTATGGTCAGGGTCCCAGGTAAAAGTGACCACTGACCTCACAAAAACCACAAAATAAAATTATTGAAAAAAAGCCCCCAATAACAAACAAAAAAGGCAGCAAAGGGTTTAATTGCAGTTATATTAAAGTACAGTTATTTTTAACTGACCCCTATTCTTCCCTGTGAGGATAATAAGGCCTGATAACCCCAAAGTTTGTGCAGTGAAAGGGGAATTCACACTGCACACAGTGCTGCCCTAATTTCTCCCAAATACAAAAGTCAATATAAAAAATGTTCATATTTAAATCTTAGTCTATGCTAGGCATTCATGGAAGGTAGCATATGGGACTAACAAACAAGTCCAGCTGACACAACACACTGACACAAAGCATATGAGTTAGAAAGGAATACAGCAGTGTCATAAACCTTCATTAGCAGAGTCCTCAAAAGACAACTAATGCAGCCCTGTCCTAAACTGGACATAAAACAGTCAAGTGAAGCAATAAATATTCTGGTCTGAGATTTTTTTTAACAACCAAAGCCCAATCATGGTTCAATGTATGACAAGATGCCAACCAGTTGTATTCTAAACATAACTATATTAAAGGCTCAGACGGCTAATAAAGTACTGTGCAGACGCTCAACAAATCCTGTATAATAATAACAAGAATAATCATAATAAAAGTAGATCTTCTAAGTGGTATACACATCTAATTGATATCATGTTTAGTCTCTAGTATCTAACAAATTGTATTATCATTTTGTTTAATAATGTGTTGGTTGTTGGATTGTGAAACCTTTTCATCTGGAAATACAGATATAGTTTGAATAATTGGCATGATGGCAGTGTTTGCTGGAGCACCACTCACGCCCCTTCAGAACATCTATCTGACCTTTTGATCTTTTGATTGGTTGTGTATATTCTGTAAATGCCCTCTTCAAAGACCAGAAAAGATGTCTGCATGTGCAGCTCTGCAGATCTCATTTGACATTGAAAACTCTAAGGACACTGAAAGAGCCATGTTTCGGAGAGCCTGTGATTCTGATACATCAGATTAGACTTACCCTGCAAGTGAACTGAATAAATGGCACTGCTGGCACAACCCAGCTCGATAAAAATAAATTGTTGGTTGAACAATGAGTGCTGCCAATCAGCTGCAGACACTTATCAGGTAATCTGACTTCTGCGGAATCAAGTGATTTATCTCATTCAGCCCTGCGGGGTTGAGGTGTAGGGTCAGCTTTACGGTAGCAATGCATATCAGAGGGCAGTCATTCGTTGTCCTCAGGCATTTCTGTTTTCTGGTTGTTAACAAATAGAAACTATTAACTTATCTGAACATGTTAATTTCAGTTAATGAAGACGATAGACACAGAATAAGGTGCAATTTGCAAAGGGTTCAACAGCACCTTACTTATAGCTAATCTCATTGGACATCAAACTCAAAAACAAGGGTACCCTAGTCAACAGAATGGATCCAGTTGATCTTGATGCGCTTCACCCGTAACAGGCTTAGTCGTAGAGATCTAAGACTGTTACAAGTAAAACATGTCAGAGAAGAGGAAGACCGCGGGCAGGACTTTATGGCATTTCTCCAGTCTGAATAAAGTTTGTGTTGCCAGTGATGTCATCGGTGTAAAGTTCTTGATGCCTGATCTTTTTATTTGATTGTTATAAATCGGAGCTGAGACACACTCTGTCAGTGAGTCAATGGAGCAGTGTGTTACCTCTGGCACAAGTACAGGGGTACCCTGTTGTACTTATGTACCTAATAAGTACCAGATTGGAGAAAAACTGCAGGTGCTATCAGAACTGGATTTGCCACAATGCCAACTATAGCCCCTGCCTCGAGGCAGCAATGAGTAGAGGGGCAGCAGGGGTGTGGAATTCCTATCTCCCGACGCCCAGGACATGTAGTGGTTTTCTACATTTAGCCCTGCTTTGAGAATGCAGAGCGAAATGTACAGCGGGCCGCTTGTTTTGTACTATTGATTTCGGCGATGTCGCCGAGATCACTTGTATGCAGCCTGCAAACAAGGGGGCGCATTGAGGAACCTGCCATTGGGGCAGGAGAGAGAATAAATCTGGCCCTTGGCGCTAAACTGAATCCAGGAAGCAAATTAAATAACTACTCCATATAAAAGCACATTTTATTATACTCATGCATTGCTACAAAAATCATATAATTTTACCACATGCCATCTAAAAGTAGAAATCAGAGTAGCAGGAGGAAAAAAAAACACAAAAAAACCATTGACGGCAGAGCAGGGAGACATGGGAAAGACATAATTGGACTGGTAACATTCCCTAGCAAAAGAAGAGTAGGTAGGAGACAGGACAGTGGCACCGACTCTGGAGAATTACAGTTTATGCAAAGTGATGTCTTCCTCCTAATATTCTGCAGCTATAAAATGATGCAGGGATGTCAGATGGAAAGGTTTGGATGATACGAGTATGTACTAATGCTTAACAAATCTTTTGGCAACTAAAGCATCTCTCATGTATATGTGCCATTTATGTATTTAGCAAGAGTTGGCCTTTAACAACTTTCAATTAAAATAATCTAAACTTTTTCCTTTTTTTTTTCTTTTTTTTTAGCCTTCATCTTTAATTAGCCTTTTCTTGTGAATAAACACGGCACATTTTTTTTTTTCAGCTTCTTTTCCATTATCTTTTCAGCCAAGAGACTTTTAGTAAATACTTTTTAATTAAGATAAGCGTCTTGCGTTCTGCTACAGCAAACAGCTTAAAGCATTTGCACCTCTGCCAATAGATGGCCACTGAAAAAAAAAAAAAATAATGGACATTATAAGATGCCAATCAACGCTTAATGGTTTATCTTGTTACTTACAGGTGTAGGTCATTTCAAAACTGTCGCTGATATTCACAATATCAATTTGGGGCAGAAGCTTTGGGGGCTCCAACATCTGCGATAATGCAAAACGAAAGGCGGCATGTTCCTGGGATTGCTGGTTTGGGAAGAGGCCCCCTGTGGAGGACAATAAAGAAGATTTAAACAGCAGTAGAGTATACAGTTAAAGCATTTTGTTCTCTTAAGAATAGGATATAAAGTATATAACTGTTATACATGTTGGATTTTTCAATCTAGGGCCTGTTCAGATTAAGCAAGCAATTTTTTTTCCGCTCCCTGGCATTGTCCTTCAATTGAACCTGGGTCTTGCCCATGCAGGGACTTCACAATATTTGTTTAGGTAATATCCAGTGTCAGCATCTGCTTCAAAGACTGAAATGCTGGCTCATAGAACACACAATGGTGCCTGTGCACAAATGTCTTAAACAAATCAGCCCCCTGCTGCAGCTTCTCATTATGTGACTTTCTTAAAAGCTACAACGTTGCAGTCTGGTCACTAAGGCAGAGGAGACAGAGGAAATGCTTCACCCTGCCTGCAGCAGACTGATGACATTTTCTCAGCCTACGCAAAGTTACTTGCCTGGAGCTCAAGAACTTGTTTTAAATTATAAATGCTGAAGATTAAAAAAAAAATAGTAACTGTGTATTGTCATTTTATTTTCATGTGCTATTGCGAAAATTACAAAATAAGACAGCCTACTGCCAGCCCCTTTCATGCTGGACATGTGATGCATGATTTTCCCAAGCTCCCTCCTTCCTAGTGGTCTGCATCCTTAAAGGCAATATTAAACAAGGTCATACACTCTCCCTTTGCAGTCTGTTAGATTATAAATATAATAGTACCAGAATAGAATTTACACAGGGCATACAAGGAGTATATAGCCCAAGACATGGCACAAGAAACTCTGCAATGTAATTAAATAGAACCAAAATGTGATGTTATTTGCAGCGTATTTTAAATGTGATCATAATGTAAGGTAATCTTAAAGTAAAGGTGAGGAGAGGGGGAAGTATTCAATAACCAACTTCCTGTCTGAGGGTAACAATGCTGCTCCAATACAGTACAGTGAGTAAGTGTTGCCTTCCTAGGACAGAAAGTGTGTTACTGGTAGGATAACCAAGGATAAAATATATTAAAAAAGAAAACTATTGTAGCCTCCACATTTAAAGACTGGTAAGCTGCAATATAATATATTTTTTTCTTACATTTAGACCTAATGCTAATTTCCTTTGAAAAGACATGGCACTTACATATTATAAAAAGGCCTTTATTTGGCTATTGTGCTGCCCTAGGACACCTAAATGATGATGCCCAATTATATAAGCTCTTTCTATCGTAGTATTATTATTATTATTATTATACCCTGTCTAGCAAAAAAAAGTCACACACTCTAATATTACGTTGGACCGCCTTTAGCTTTGATTACGGCACGCATCTGCCGTCGCAATGTTTTAATAAGCTTATGTAATGTCATTTATTTCCATCCAGAGTTACATTCATTTTCCACAAAGATCTTATCGTATTGATGGGAGAGTCGGACCACTGTGTAAAGTCTTCTCCAGCACATCCCAAAGATTCTCCATGGGGTTAAGGTCTGGACTCTGTGGTGGCCAATCCATGTGTGACAATGATGTCTCATGCTCCCTGAACCATTCTCTCACAATTTGAGCCCGATGAATCCTGGCATTGTCATCTTGGAATATGCCCATGCCAGCAGGGAAGAAAAAAAATCCATTAATGGAAAAATCTGCTCATTCAGTATATTCAGGTATACCTCATTTGCTAAAACTAGACCTGACCAACGGAGAATATATTATGATTATTTTTGTAAAAACTAATGCTATAATGTACAATAGCAGGAAGAGTGCTGTCTTTGTTGTATGCTCAGCATATTTTGGATGCATAGACCAGCAGGTGAGAGAAAAGAAATATACAGTAGTTTTACATTTCATAAACTTAAATGGTTTCTAAACCCTCCGTTTTTTTTGCCTATATCTCCTGCTATTAAGCAGGAGATATAGGCAAAAAGTAAAAAAAAAAACTGTTTTCGTCGCGCGTTCCCGCCCTAGAATCCTAAACTACTTGGGCGGCTGCAAAGCATCTTGGGGCGGACACATGCTCAATTTGGATTTTCAGCCGGGAGACGAGCAGAGACGCAAGGTAAGTCTATGGACGCGTGCACCCGCATACAGACACCCCTGGATCGGAAGTGCCTGCAAGCAGAGAGGAGTCAGCGCTGGATCGGAGAGCTGCTGCACCGCTGGAGGGGTCAGATGAAAACATCAGGAAAGAAAAGGAAGATCGGATTAAGAGACCTCATTTAAGGTAAGTGCTAACTTTAACATTGGAGGGAAAACATTTTTGGACTTTAATGTCACTTTAAGTGTGTCTTCTGAATCTTCGCTATGATAAATACAGCTCTGATTATGGATGGTAGATCTGAACAATTTAACTTTTTGTTTCCTACATTAGTAATCTATTATAATAGTCCATTAATAATGTCATGAATGTCCATTAATAATGGTATAATTTTATTAATGACACTTTTTCCTGAAATGTCACACATTAATGACTGTAATGGAATTGGTTTGCTGAGTTGTTTCTTCGTACCATTTGCACACCCACCTGTCCACAGTGGGAAGCCGACTATAGCAGTTACAATCAGTTATAGCAGTTACAATCAAAAACATATGAGGACGTGAAGAAAAAAAAACCATTATTAAATTATCATATTTGCCTTTAATACATATATGTGGCTATTAATCCAGGCTTTTACCATCCAAAGAATCTTCTTCCTGTCTATAATGGAGTCTGTATTCCTTTCCTAACTATAAAAAAGCACTTTGAAATGATAACATAATGACTGTCTGCCTGCCTCACTGAGAAATGCTCCAGCTCTCTGAGTGATTATATCGGATATAACTGCCGCATATCTCTATCCATGAAAATTATCAAGAAAGCAGACCGACTCAGTGTTGGAAGAAAGGGCAAACACTGATTCCGGCATTGTTTGAGGTTTTTTTTTATTTTTACAGAAATTTGTACTAATTATTGCCTCACAAATACCAACAAAATAGAGTCTTTGACAGGCCTATTACTACCGTAGCGCCCCCTTGACCCCCAAGTGCATGTGGAGAACCCTAGAGGCAGGGAGGGCTGACATGTCACTCTTAGGAATGGATCCTTAGAAGGGATGTGGGATGTGAACAGTAAATTGGGCACAAGTACTTTCTCAATGCTTTATTGTAGAACAGTCAAAATTGGGAGAGTGGGTAAATGGCTACAAACATCTATGAACAAAATAGACTTCCTATTAGTGGTGTAACAAAAGTCATAGCAGCCCATGCGGCTGCTATGGGGCCTGGGAGTGGAAGAGGGAGATGTACAGGGATATACAGGGGGAGACTATGCGGGCAGTTCTCCTGCTACCTGACTTTAATATTATTGACAGTAAGGAAGTTGCTGTGGGGCCCCATCAAAATTTTGCTATGGGGCCCCATGATCTGTGATTACGCCCCTGCTCCAGACACACCAGTTCCTTCCAGCTTCCTACTTTAGTTGAGCAGAGGATGACACTGTGCAATAGAACCACAACTGGATAGAGGACATACTTGAGATCTTCCCTTAACATGTTCCTGAGGTCCATGCCACCCTGACCTTTCTGGCACCTCCAGCATTTAAAGTGACATTGAAGGCTATCCCTCCTCCTCCCCCCCCCCTCTCCCTCAATGTCAGGACTTATCTTAAATGATGCCTCTTTATTCGATCATCTTCTTCTTAACTGTCCTTTTCAGCTGTCCATCCAGCGCTGGTGTGGGTCTCCGATCCAGCGCTGACTCATCTGTCCTCCTCTTCTCCCATGTCCCACAGAGTCTGTGCGGGTGCACGCTGCTCAATATACTTACCTCGTGTCTCTCCTCGTCTCCCAGCCGAACATCTGAACTGCGCATGCGCCCACCCCAAGATCCTTTGCGGCCACCCGTAGACTCTTCAGATGTTCAGACGGGAGTGAGTGGCGAAGACACAGGTGAGTTTAAACCTGTTTCAACAGGTTTTTTAAAAAGGTTTTTCCATATATCTACTGCTTGCTACTGCTCTACTGCTTGCTATGCAAAAAAGTGAGGGTTTAATAACCCTTTAAGGGCTCTTCTGGTTTTCAATCCCAGACAGTTCCAGGCCCCACCTGGGTCCACATTTGGCCTCCTGCCTAGTTAGCTTCTTCAACTGTGTACAGCCTACCCCCAGGCTAGGTCTAGGGCAGTGGCGTCACAAGGAGGCGCGGGGGGTGTGGCTCGCACCCGGGTGTCACCATTGGAGGGGTGACACCAAAATGACTGATAGTCATTTTGGTGTCACCTCCCTCTAAAAAGTCAGGTGCTTGGTCATGGACCGAACGCCTGACAGTATCAGGAGAGAGGAGGGAACCCGGCGGCATACCTTATCCCGCCGGGTGGCTGTCCCCTCTTCTCTCTGCCGGCCTCCATCACCAAGATGGCCGCAGGCAGGTATCAGAAGATCGCCGCGCGTCCGCGATGACAAGATTGCCGCGCACGATTACGTGATCGCGCACATGCGTGGTGATGTCACACGCATGCGCGGTGATGTCTTGGCGGGGTTACACCCGGTAACCGCTCCCTGAGCACATGGCAATCCCTGAGTATTGATGCACTTCCCAAGCATGCACCACTGGCATCCAATGCCTAGTGATTGGCTGAAGATGCCTAAACACCCACAATGTTCTCCCATTGGCTGCCCCAGTCTGTGGCAGGGTGAAACCCCACTACAGGTAGGTGTAGACAATAGCAGAACACCTAGGAATGACCAAATGATCACAAACTACAAATCAGCCAGACTGAATACAGTTCCAGCAACACTAAATTTAAAGAGCCACTCCACTTAGGATGAATGGGCTACACTACCATGAGGCAAGAATTTTGCCTCAGGCAGTATACGCCAGATGTGGTATTGAACCAAGTTCATTGTCCACTCTGGACCTCTAGATTGCAAGCAAACACCACAGTAAATGGACAGGTCTGTGCTGTTTTCCTAGCAACCATACTCCCAAGAGACTTAGCTGCACAGAGCAGGACTTAATACCAGAAATCGGGAAGGCAGG